CGGAAAGAGAAACGGAAAGAGAAACGGAGAAAAGTAAAGTTAGGTCAGTGGCAGGAAAGAGAATCAGACAACAGTTATAGTGCACAAAAAACTGAAACCTGCCAACAAACATAAATCAGTCAGTGCCATATGGATGCACATGGGTTGATAGGGTTAATGGCTGACAGAAGGGAATATTGTCTTACGTTGATTTCAGTCACAAGGATGTCCGTGATGCTGCCCAAAACTGTCACAAAGTCAAACACATTCCAGGCGTCTTTTAGGTAGTTCTGAGGACAAAAAGTTAAACAAACATTTCAGTGGTTAACTATCCATTACGATTAGGAATTTGGTTAAAGTTCTCACAGTTCAGAGAGTATAAAACATAAAGGCTCAAAATACAATCTAATCCATTAGCCATAGATGTTACACATCACACAAAAATGCAGTAATAACCAAGTGTGTTGGTGATTCACTTTTTTTTCAGGTAAAACGATGAAGAAATGGCATTCAGGAGTCTAAAAGAGGTCCAAAATGTCCTCTATCAATGCTACTCACCAGTGGACCAAAAGCAATGATCTTCAGGATACACTCCAAGGAGAAGAGAGTGGTGAAGACAATGTTCAGATTCTTCAGCATCACTTCATAGAAGTCAGGAGCTCCATGGAACTGAGGACAGACAGAGGTTAACTGAGCTACTGTACAGCTAGGCCATTACAGCTCAAAGTTCAAATAATATTAGAAAAGAAGTAAATTTCAACCTTCATCATGAGAACCATGGTGTTGAGGGTGATCATGATCATGATGGAGTACTCAAAGGGAGCAGAGACTACAAATTTCCACATCCTGTACTGAAAGGACTGCGTGTTCTCGGGCATGTAGCACGTCAGAGGTTTAGCATTGATGGCAAAGTCGATGCAGGCTCTCTGAGAAAACAAAGAAACATGACAGAGGCGTGGATGGCTGCCATCAGTGCCCAAACTCAGTACTGCACTCAGGTGGCCAAAGCTGGCACATGGTGCATATGCAGCTTCATACCAGCTAATTCTCCAGCCACATTCAATGGATTTTAAACGCCCAAGAAATAGACTTGTGGTTGGATAACTATTAAATATAAAAAGATAAAAAATCCCCCTATTGATATTGTTTTTACATTCAACAGGTCTCTGACTGAAGAAAACACACAATGACAGCAATTGAACAAAACAGGAATGGGGCTAATGTTGAAGCTAATGAGAAGAGTTCTTTGGTAGACTTCTGGTGAGTCAACGTACCGTATTTTTCGGACCATAAGGCGCACCGCATTATAAGGCGCACTATCAATGAACGGAGATATTTTCATACATAAGGCGCACCAGGTTATAAGGCGCATGAAGCGAAACAAAACAGTCAGCGAAACAATTAAGCGGAACAATCAAGCATGTCCGGATCCCGCTCGTCATTATCCGAGTCAGTCTCGTTGCTGTTACTCAGCTATTCAGTGGTGATTCCGGCCTTTGTGAAAGATCGGACGACATTTCAGACTGATACCTTAGCCCAGGCATCCACGATCCATTGGCATCCACAATCCATTTACAGATATTAGTGGCGTAACTCGTCAGGTGTTGCCTCCCAGTCTTGGTGAATGTGTGTTCGCCTTCAGTCATCCAATGCGTCCACGCAGCTCGCAATTTGACTTTGAACGCCCTGTTAACAGTGATATTTAATGGTTGGAATTCTTTGGTTAATCTACCCGGAATGATGGCAAGCCCCGAATTAGTTTGCTTCACTTGGGTTTTGATCAGGCATGGGCAAACTACGGCCCGTGGGCCATATACGGCCGGTTGGGCTTTTTAATCTGGCCCGCCGAACTCATCCACGTTATATTATTAAATTAAATTTTATTATAAGACACCTCAATCATTTTACCTAGCTGTAATTCCCATCTTTCCCCAGCAGATGGCGCCAAAGACATTGACCATTGAGTGTGATGCATTACGGTTACTCTCGACTTCAATTTGTCACCTAGCACTCTCAGCCCTTCATTAAAAATGAAGTAGAAAGTAGTAAAAAGTAGACAGTGAGTGCCGAGTCTT